TGGATATTTTGCTTCGCCTGTTGGGGTCGTTGTGTCCCGTATGTTTAACCAGTATTCATCCCAGTGAAGTTCAGGCTTTGGCTCAAGTGCATGTTGTCTCCACTCCATATCAAGCTTGTTGAGGTCGATGGTATCTTTCAAGTATGGTAATTTCTGACAAATGCTTCTCAATGAACGAGGCTTGAGTTCAGCGGATCTTGAGTGGATCATCTAAGTCAAATCGACTTTGGATTTGTAGAATGCTCTCGATGAGAAAATTCTTACAGGTCGTTAGGAAGTTATCAACATCAGCTTTCCCTGCCACGCTAGCAATTTCGTGGATAGTAGCCGTCGCTCCAAGGCCAACGTAGGTCTCGCTTAATGGTACGTGTTGGTTGACGTCAGTTGGGTTTAGCTTGTTTGGCGACGTTGACTTTACGATGTCGATTTTCATAAAGTCACAGGCAATTGACTTGATAAGGCTTTCTATTTCTGGTTTTAGCATGTGGAGGAGAGGACGCTCGCTCTGAAACAATCTGTTAAATGCATTAAGACGCTCGAGTTGATAGCTTAAGAACTCCAGATACGCCTGGGTAAAACGATTCTGTAATGATGCCAAAATGCGATCGTTTGAGTGTGATGGGTCTTCGTTGGCTGTCAAGGTGAAATAGCGGGTCAACGCTTCGAACTGTTCAAGTAGTCGGTTTACGCACTCTTGTAAAGAAAGCCACCGTGTCTGCGCGGGTGATAGATTCTTGAGCGGTTGGGCATTAAAAAAGGCCTGGAACTCTTTATACACGTCTTGCCTTTTAGAAGATCGACTGAAATGCGCATATACATCTCTGCATAGATCCTCCACACCTTTGGGTAGTTTTAATGCAGCATGAGATGATACGAGATGGATAAGGTGACATGAACACTTCACGAGTTGGACGTAGCTAAACTCTGATTTGAGTAACTGCGAAACGGAGTTATACTGTCCAAACATCACATTTGTGGTATCGGATGAGTAACCTATGATGTTCCTCATAGGAATGTTGTGCTGTAGAAAGGTTTCTTTCATCTTTGCATAGATCCCAGTTGCACTACCATCTTCAGTTTCGATCATATCTACCAACCAGTACTTGAACCTCGAACTTCTCAATGTCAAAAAACGTAGCAATGATGGCCAGTTGCTTTTTGACACTTTTGTCCGTTGCTTCATCGATGATTACACTAAACTTTCGTGATCGCAACAATGCCACCATTTCCTTGAGGTAATCAAAACCGAGCACTTGGCGAACGATGTTCGTGGCCTTCTGCTTTCCAAGTTTTAAATAACTTAACGCAGCATCATTTGGAAAAAGAGATCGAAGTAGTTCGACTATGTCTTCCGAGATTGACAATGGCAAGTTATGCTGGGTAATAAACGCACATAATTTTATTTCCATCGAAGTCGTCGCATCAGAGTTTGTTGTTTGACGCATTAGTTGGGCGATGGAGCCAGTTGTCGCGGACGTCTTTATCCTTGCTTGATGTTTTTGGCTCGCAGCATGTCGTTTAATAGCGGTCATAGAACAAGTGAGCCAATTCGTGCAAAGTTTACAGAAGGGTTTCATTTCCCCGCTTGGTGCCGTTTTCTTACTAAGCCAGTTCTTGAACTCGGTGACTTGCAGCCAATTGTCCTTAAACACCCGTTTCCGTGGTGGACACTTACGTTTTCTCGGTTTTGCAGATGTTGCCGACGTGGACTGTTGTTCAACATGACTTCTATCAGTGCTGTCACTCTCACTGGTCTCACTTGCAGATCCCGAAAATGTTTCTAAATCATCACTATACATCTTTAAATAAGTTTATGATTAACTCTCATCTTGCAGTAAATTCAACAGAAACCTGCAGAAAAGTATGTTTTGCAGCTGCTGTAACGGGATATCAATTAAAAACAAATAAGTATTTGGAAAAACCGAGAAAAGTAAAGAAAAACTTTGTTTTTATTTTTCGAAATTTCGAATTTGTGAATTTCCTTCAAATTTCCTTCGAACTTCCAAAATTTCCTCCAAATTTTCTCCAAATCCGAATTTCCTTATAATTTCCTCCAACTAGTTAAAATTTCCTCTAAAGAGGAAATTTCCTCCAAAATGGAAGCACTGGGTCGAGACGAAATTATTAATGAAAGCGTCCAAAACCACCAGCCCCCTCCTGATAAAAAATGAACGGTCACATACAACAAACTACTGGATGGAAATTGACAATTTAAAATTGACAATTAAATTGACAATCTGTTTATATGTTCCAACCCCGCGACAAAGCATTTTCTTTAATGTGTTTACTTCGTCTTACTTGGCCAGTTAACTTTTAATTACTTTAAAATGCACCTTTTGAATAACCAGTTGTGTTTATATTTAATACTTTGTCTTTGTAAACAACTATACGCCATATGTACGCCAAGAACTGAGCTTGTACACCGAACTTGCCGGTTATGATCATCGTTCAGCATTGTTCGCATTCAAAACAAATCTCTTCATCGAGAAATATATGCAATATATTTCTGGTGTATTGTTTTTCAGATTATATTTCAAGTCTTTCAAACATTTGTATGCCTCCAAGGAATTCTTGAGGAAATCTCTGAATTTAAAATTTTTGTGTTATTTTAAATGCATGCTAATTATCAATTAACCAATGAAATATCTCATTTGTGGCATATATTATTCAATATATAGACGTTCTCACACACGTTCTCTCGCGCGCTTCGTCGAGAGTAAAGTCTGTTCACTGGCTAGTCACCAAATGAACAAAAATATAACCATAAAACAGTCTTCTCATTTACCCGTTTTCCTCGTGGATGTTCCAGAAAATACCAGAAATGTTGTCATTCGGAGCATCAAAAATATAAAAGTTTTCTGGGAGAGGACCCCCACGGCACAGGGTTCGTAGTAGCGGTCTTTGAAATCCTTGAAAGTCTTTAAATCTGAATGCAGGTCTTTAAGGTCTTTGAAAAGTCTTTGAATTGTGTGAAAAAGCGAAGAAAGTCTTTAGTGAGTATTTGATTATACGATTTCCTATAGCTAATAAAATAGATTGATTGAAGAGCAAGGTTTTCGCAAATATCCACGAAAAGGTACATTTTACGATGTGATGTGGCGGGACTAATTACTGGGCAAAAATGGTGTAAAATGTGGAAAATATAGCCGTGCGAAAATTGCAAATTTTTTTTATTAATTTGTATTACGCGCGGGAAAGTGCACCACATTTGGGCCGAAAGTGGTGCATTTTCCCGTGCGTGATACCACGCATGGTGATACAAATTAATACAAAATTTGCAAATTTCGCAGGGCTATATTTTCCGCATTTTACAACATTTCGCAACCAAAGTTTGCAATTTTACTAATTTTAACATGCTCTTTCTAGCTGTGGTGATGGATTTTGTTCTTCTTGCCGAGATCAAAATTTAGTCCATAGCTGGAATCATCCATTGAAAGAACTCAACTGTTGTAGAGAAGATCTTGTAGTTCAAGACGATTATTATTGCTGCTTGAACAACCTTTCGTTTACATTTGAAAAAATAGAGGATGCGTAGCCAGGTTGAAACATAATTTATTTATTGAACGTTCTCTGACTAAATATTTATTTCTACGAGCTTTCGGCTATCAGTCTATAGCCTTCGACGGGTGTATACAAATGATTCTATAAAGGACGCTAAACTTAAGTAGGTGGTATGAAATATGAGACTATCTATATGCTATGTTAGGTGACGGTGGTGTGCTTCGAGTTTTTAAGTTTAGCGTCCTTTCGTTTACTGTTAACTATAGTCTATCTCTAGAAAATAATGTGGTTTTTTGCTCAATCGTGCACCGTGACTTAATTCAATACATCCCGCCTCACATCTCGTACTGGCAAAGCGGGATGATATATCGTTCTTTCAGTGCAGCGGCACCAAAACTCTGGAATGCTCTTCCAACAACATTGCGGGACATATCTTCAATTAGTACTTCTAAATCTAGCTTGAAAACATATCTTTTTAAATTACCATTTTACTATATTAAAATTCTATATATTATGTGAAATGTTGTATCATTGTATGTAATGCGCTTTTGATCATTTTTATGTTAAAAAGCGCATGATAAATTAGTAAATTATTATTATTATATAAACAGCCCTCATTCTTATTCAGCGAATTGCGCATGCTGCCTTTGATCCCTTGGGAGTGAGGCAGCACTTTTCTTGCGATAGTAACTTCTAGTTCTTACCATACATCATTTTTTTGGGGGGGGTTACCAAATATACCCCAAAATTTAGGCACTGGAACTATTTTTTATCATATGTGACCCATCGATCAATAGGGCTATAACCTCATAACTTTACCGGCTTCTAATTTTACACTCAATCTTTACCGCTAATCATAGTGATGATTGGAATTTGTTTATAAAAATTTTATGTTTATGAAACTTCGCTTCGCTGACCTTCGCTCCTCTTTGAGAAACACTACCCTCGCATACTGAACATACCCTAGCTAGCTAAAGTGCTCGCTCGTGATTGAATACGGTTGATTATTCGGCTACCGAAAACGGAAAGAGGAATTTTATTTTTCGCACTATTTGGAGCAGTTCGTGGTCACAACAGTTCCTTAAAAGGATTAGATAAACAGAAATATGGATGAACCTTAAAACAGATGCAAGAACTCCCAGAGAGCGAGATTTAAGCCGAAAACCAAATTATACAAAAGTTCCTTGTCAGGGTCGATAATTGTTTTACGTTGTGGAAAACACTATGGGCCCATTCTTCAAAGCTGGATTACCGCCAACTCTTCAGTGGTTAAAATGTAACCTGATATTTCGTTTTGTGTACTTCTACATGACTGTTCATTTCAAAACTTTATAAAATAAAATTTCTGTTGATCCAGACAAGATTTCTAGAAAATTATTTATGAACAAGCTGTTTGGACGATTGCTCTGGAGATTTTTGTTAACCTAGGATGAAGCTGAACCAGCTTTCGAACAACAGGCCCCATACCTATAATTTCAGTATGCAGTGATGACAAAGTGAATCTGTGCAGTGATATAAACATGTGTTGCGATAAATTCTAAACTAATACAACCCAAAACCATAGTCTATCACGATATGATAGTCTGGAAACTAAACAAAACTCATTGTGTTATGATTTTTCTCAGTTTATGTTAATTTGCGCACGGTCACGTTGATTGAGCTCATTGTATTTTCGTATAATGAAGTAATCGTCCAATAGGGATAGCTGAGATGAAACGTGCAACCACGGTGAATAATATTTAATGAAGTTGAGACAAAAGATTTGTGTATGGTGAGGTACAGTTCAACATCAAACAAAGGTCTTCTATTTTGTGGTTTTAATGTTTACCGACCAAGACCACCTCATCTTTAAGACCACCTCATCTTGACAGACTAACGCCTGTATTCTAAAAGCTCACTCGCACTCAATGAGTGGAGGTTCAATCAGAGCTTCTCTTGAGTGTCAACGCTGTTTTTGAATAGCTGGAGGGTGAGTAGTCACATAATAAGGTACGAGATGGTAGGTAAGGACACTCGCCGAGAGAAGCTCAGATTGAACCTCGTCCACTCATTGAGTGTGAGTGAGCTTTTAGAATACGGGTGTAAGCCAAAACATTTCAAAATTAATTTACATCACTTACCTAAATGTTTTACACCGAAACCAGGGGTGTAGCCACGATGAGGAGAATGGGGTAGGGGCGGGCGGAACTCTCACCACATTTCTTCAGGACCAATTTTGTAATTCGTCCAAAACTGAGGAGAAAATGGGCGCTGGGGGGAAGGCTCGTAATGCTTTCATTTATGACAAACTTACCGGACAATTCTGTGGCTATTCAGGCTATGTTGAGTAAAATTTTCCTGGGGGATACCATTAGTCCCCGAACTGGCAGACCCCCTGTTGGTTACAGAATGTGCAGCGATAACAAATTTCATAAAATGAAGTATGGCACTTCTTTATTCCGCAAAGCTTTGGATCTGCAAGCTGGTATCAATTATTTTACATGTGGTCTTGCACATATTGAACAATTTACATCGTATGAAATGGAGATGGTTTGATATATGTGTCATGTGTGTGTAATTGGTGTGCGAGAAAATGTTGTCAGAAACAGGGGGGTGGGCAAGCGCCCTTCTACCCTTTTCTAACAGGGCAAGGGGGCAAAAGTGCCCTTTTAATATAAATAAACCAAAGATTTACGCAACATGATTTAACATGGAATTTATCATAAGGGGTTTGCGAATTTTTTATAGGTTTTATTGAGGATCTTTTTATAGGTTTTATATTGTCTCAACCAGTTATGTCTGAGATTGTAGTTAGCTCGCCTCAGTTAATTGAGTGCGGACGAATAGCTTTATAAAAAAATTAGTTCCCTCAAAATTAATTTTCCGTTCAGGCCGGTATATAATGCAGATGACCGGATTGACGAAAGTCACTGCACCTCAAAACCAAAGTTAATTTCGGTTCTTTTGAAAAGTATTAATTTACCATTGTCTCCGCCATGTTGAATCTGATCTTTCCAATATTCAATGAAGGATTCGTGTGGTGTAATTTTCAGAAAATGGAAAAAATGTTCTTGTTCTTTGAGAGTGTTTTTTAATTTAAGAAATCCTTCAAATTATTAACAATTATTGGATGAGGCTGAGCAGGATATTATTATTTAGACCGAGGCCAATGTCTTCTGCCGAAGCCGAAGGCTGAGGGATATTCGCCGAGGCGAAGTCGAGGTGAATATTCCCCGATAATCACCGAGGCTGAGGCGAATAATTGTTTTTGTATTTTTACACAAGTCTTTTGTGTTTTTTTGTTACTGAATTTATTTTG